TGTGATTATTTGATTGAAGTCGTTAATATGCTGCGCCAAATCAAAACCTTCTTGCATCTTCAGCTCATACGCATCTTCAGCCCATACAACTTTTGTTTTAAATACAATTTATTCGTCAGAGATTTGGACATAAACTAAGTTTCTAATTTCTAATTTCTTTCATATCTCCCTTGGAGATTTCAGATTCATCATGTGATACATAACCTCAGATGTCAGGCATAAACGTATAGTTGCTGCCGCTCGTTGTTACAATTCTTCACAGTCTTCATCATCCATGGCATCTGATTTTTTTGTCCGCAAAGCTTTCAAGATTCTCTGTTGAGCCAACAAATCTTTTACTCTTGTTTGTCATAATCTGAAGTTACCAGTTCCATCAAACTTTACCACCTCGAATTTTGCACCAGTAATTATGAGTTGAAATTGATCCTGCAACAAATTATTCTGCAAATCCCTAGAATCTTTTCAAAAAGAAAAATAATGATTGAAAATATTCCTTAATTAAGTTTTCCAGAAAAACAACGGATTTTTTTTAAAAGAAAAGATTGAAATATTTCCTTAATTAAGCTTCCTTGATTAAGTCTTTTAAGTCTTCATTAATTAAAATATTTTCTTTAATAATTTGAATTTCAAAAACTTTTTTTTTCCCGCAAAGAAATAAAATCAGAACTTCTGATTTCCTTCTCTGCAGCCTCCAACAAAGAAAAACTTAATTAAGTTTCCTTAATTAAATATTTTCTATAATTAAACATTTCATTTCTCTAGAGATTCCCTGTCTTTCTTCATGCAGCTCTAGCAGAGGAAAGATTTTCTTTTCAAATTTCACCTCCGCAGATCCAGCGGTCCACCAAAGAAAACAACTACTCGTTGAACACCTTAGGAAAGAAAACTCCTTTCCACCTGTACTTAAGGAAAAATCCAGGGGAATATTCCCTTGGTATAAGTGAAAGATTCTATTCTAATCCTCCATGATCCCGCGAACCGTCCTCCCGGCAGCTGCCCGATCACTCCTGCAAACAACCTGTCGTTTTCCGCGAACAGGAAACCAGCAACACCTCCGAACCGCCGAACAGCTTCGATTCCTTGATTCCGTCCCGCGAACCGCCTTCGGCTTTGCCTTCGCAAAACCCTTGCATTGGCGACAGCCTCCCGCAAACAATCCTTTGCGACTACTCCCTGCCTGCACCAACAATCTGCCGCGAACCGCCAAAGTTCTTCGTCGAATCGTCAAAGCTCCGAAATTCACCAAACTCCTAGCGAGGAAAAGGATTTTGTTATGAACCTCGCTCTGATATCACTTGTTGAGAAATTAGAGCAAAGAAAAACTGAAATCGACACAAATCCAGAAGAACATAAAAAGATTTAACGAGGTTTGACAAAGATGTCTACGTCATCGGGAGCAGAGCGGCGGCTTTCTTTCAATATTCAGAAAAAAGTACAGAATACAGAATATGGGATAACACCTAGTGTTACATACAGGCCTATTTATAACCCTAGAAAACCCTAGAGTACAATATGTAATTACCAAATTACCTTACCAAATTACTCTGTACCTCACCCCCAACCCACATAAGGAAACTCCCCTGATTTGAACAGAATCTTCCGCTCCACTCCGCTCCAGCATCTGTCCTTTATATGGTATATGAATCATACCTAACACATACTCTAAATTTCTTTATGATGAGGATCCCAACTTTAAGAAAATGCACCTTATTAGTTAGGATAATACTTGCGGCTTAAAGTTAAAGGAGCTGAGGATTCCTTCTATTCATTCTCATAACCCGGCTAGCAATAAAAGCTTACTTGAATTTTTTTTTTCAACTGTAAAATCCTTTTAAACGCAACTGTAAAATCCTTTTAAACGCATGGTGGAATAACTCTCATTCCAGCATTTGGATATGCACATTACTCACCATTTTGGAAAAGCATAATTAGCACAGATTATAAAATCAGGCCGTTATCTTACTTTATTGGTAATAATTGCGGTTTCTCTCTTCTTCTTGATCAGTGGGTTCATGGAAATTAGCCTTTAGAAATATTTAGGCGTAATGTGATCCACTTCAGCAAGGCCCAACCAAACTTTCTCTTAGCTAAAATTATAATCAACATCTCTTGGAACCTTTACAGAAATCCCATCTACAACTTTACTATCATTAATGTTAAAAATAACACTATCATTAATGCCGCTTTCATGGGTGTCTACATTATTTTATTGAATGGTAAGTCAAACCTTATTTTTCATGACATCAAAAATGTTATTTATTCTCTTTATCTTAACGCTAACTAGGTTAAGTGGGTTAGCCACAAGCATTATTCATTAAAATTGTGTTTATTTTGGTTAGCCATAAAAAGTAGCATCAAAACTACATATGCTTTAAAGTGAATGCTCTGGTTAACCCTGGCTACACTCTATGCCTTACAAAAATGAAACCATTAACCATTTATTTTTCAATTTTTCTTTCTCCCACTCCTATTTGCAAAAAGCCTTCCTTCTGGTAATAAATTTCTGGATAGACCCACTCATATTCAACTGCAAGAACATGCTTTGTCTTATGTGGAAGAGGATTTACATAAGAAAATAATTACAATTTCTAAATATTCACTAGCTAGTTTACAATATCTGGAGGGAGAGGAATGACAGAATATTCGGCTATGATATCTAATTTCATTAATATTCTTCATTGAATTAAATATCATTTAATAAGCAAAGGGAAACTTTTTGGAATGATTCAATAAGATGCATTTCTTAGCCTAGCCTATTAAGTATTTGTAGTCTGTTTAGATTTATGAGTTTCTGGTGGAGAATATTTTATTAAGTTATGCTCCTTCAGAATTTTATTGGTGTTTTCTTTTGTATCATGACATGTATTCCTGGTTACACTTAGCGCTCCGGGACTATTGCCGTAATAGGTTGGTATTGGTTGATGGAAGATGGCTCTTCAATATTTCTATGTTTCGTTAGTTACTTATATGGGTTGTCGGATGAGGTTGTGGAGGATAACTTTTTGAAATAGTGAGTTGTTGCTCCTGGCTCAATTTCTTGCTCTCTTCATGAAATGAAAGTTTAGAGATAGTTTTGGTGAAGGTTTTGTTGTTCTCTATCCCTGAATTAAGTTGGCCATGTATTGCATCTCTTTTTGTTCTGTTTTGTTTTGTTTTGTTTTGCTTTTAATTTTTTTATTTTTTTTCTTTTCTTTTTTTTTGCTTTGCTTTGCTTTGCTTTCAAATGAGGTTTTAGACCAATTATGATTAGTTAGATATCTTGTGCCTTGGTTTCCTTAATGCACCAAGCAGATCAAGCCTTATCCAATCATTCTTTTGTGCAACTGAGTCAATCAGTAAATTATTTAGATTTTGGGTCAATTTTGTTGACATTATATGAGCCTGATCATATACCTTATGCCCAGTTCTCAGCCTTTTTTTTTTTCTTTTCCCCATCGATGCACCTAAACAGGGAAATATTTCTTTTCTGATTTTGACACACGGTTTTGGGTGTTTATTCCATTAAGTCTTGTAATTTTATGCTTTTTCTAATTCGAGCTACAACTCACAATTTCCCCATAATAACTTTATTGAAACAAATAAAATGAAATTATAACGCTTAATCTTTCTGACAAGAGCATCCAAGACAAAATACTGCAATAAGGTATAACTGACGACAATATGCAGGCTTCAAGAAAACATAAGAATATTTTTATTCAACTGTTTTAACATTATTAATAGCTAAAAAAATATATTTAAACATTATACTCAACATAGTTTCTCAAAATTAGTTTGGATTCATGCCGAGTGAGTCTACTTTGGAAGCTATACATTTATTGAAAGGTTTGGGGGCGAACTACAGAGATAATAAGGAGGATCAACATATGATTTTTGTTGACTTAGTAAAAAACTTATGATGAGGTTCCAAGAGTACTTTGAAGAGTTCTAGAAAAGAAAGATGTTGTAATTACTTATCTTCAAGTCATTATGGATATGTATGCTAGAGCTGTTACTTTTGTTCGAACACAAGGAGGACAAACCAAGTATTTTCTTATTTCAGTTGGATTACACCAAAGATTGACTTTAAGCCCATATCTTCTTGCTTTAGTTATGGATATTTTCTACTGGATATTTACCAGAGGATGTACCATGGTATATGCTTTTTGCCTATGATATTCTTCTTGTGGATAAGACTAGAGAAGGAGTTCAGCAAAAACTCAAGTTATAGAGGTTAACTTTAGAGTCTAAAGGTTCTCGTTTGAGTATATTTAAATGAATCCATGGAGTGTAATTTTAGTAATAATAGATTTAGTGGTGGGGTTGTAACAATAGGTGATCAACTCACGAAAAGAAGTGAATGTTTTACATGTCTTGGGACTATTGTTCAATGTGATGTTGACATAGATGGAGATGTTATTTGTAGAATTCAAGTTCGATGGTTGAAGTGGAAGAGTCCTTTGGGCCTATTGTGTGATAGAAAAGTACAGCTTAGACTTCAAGGAAATTATAAGAAGATGGTGAGACTTGCAACGTTTTATAGCATAGAAAGTTGGACTATAAAAGAGAAGCATAAAATTAAGTATTGGTGAGATGAGAATGCTTGGGTGGATGGGTGACTTCACACTTAGAAACATAATGTGAAACAAATATATTCTTGAAAGGGTTATAGTAGCTCCAGTGGCATACAAGATTACAGGGAGTCTCCTTAGATGATTTGGTCACATTAAACGCCGATCATCTAATGACCCAGTTAGAAAAGTAGATATTTTAGATTTGACTTGTGTTAAGAAAGATAAAGGTAAACCTAAAAGGACTGGGGCAGGTTGTATAAAAAATGATCTCAATTTATTAGAATTAAATGCAAATATGACAATGGGACACAATAGAGAAAAGGAATTCATGTAGCCAACCCCACTTAGTGGGATAAAGGTTAGTTTGTTGTTGTTGTTGTTGTTGTATACATATAACGCTCAACGAAATCCATAAACCAGTTTTGATAATGTAGCTAATTAAGATCTTACCAGTTTCTTCTGTTGATAATGGGCGGAACTGCATTTTGTTTACTTCTAGCATCCTTGGAACCTCTTCTCCAGACTCGGATGCCTTTAAAAATAGAATTTCGATCTCTTTTACACATGATAAGTAGTCCTCACTTGATTTACTTCCAGATCCATTCTCCATCTCCATTCCATTCATCAGAAGTGCAGCTGTGGTTGGTGAGGTCTTCTGGAATTTTATCATAGAGATTTCTTCATGATGTAAACCATGGTTTGACCCAATATGTTCGCCATTTTCCTCATCATTTCCAGAAGCAATGCCGTCTGCAGATGGGATAGCAAGAGATGCGTTCAATGGATCGCCTGACCCATCATTACGGTTTCTATAGATTTGAACAAAGGGTTCATCAGATATTTGATCAAAATCATCTCTTGAATCCACTGAATCGTCATCCTTATTATGCAACGAAGCTGGTTCACCTTCATCTTCCAGTTCTGGAATGCCTTCCTCCTCCCTGAGATGTTTTAGATAATCTACATTATCAAACCCATGACCAAGCGTCTTCCTTTCAATGGAGAATTGGTTGTCTAATGGATGGAAGGGCCCAAAATAATCCCATGGTGGAATACCAGGAGGAGTAGGAGCCTCAGACGAAGAGTTCTCTTCTGAATTTTGTTGCAAACTTTTCAAAGGAGATGATGTTTCCACAATTGCTCTTACTGGAGTGGGAAGCCTCTCCTCAATTGTCGTTGAAGCAAACTTGGAAGTTTTCATATGATTAACATGAAACGAATTCACTTTTGAATGTGATTCTGAGCAGCTTGAAGGAGATAAGGTTTGTAGAGTTGCTGCTAGTTGAACAGGCGGTCTCTCTTCAATTGTTACCGAAGGAATCCTGGCAGCTGCCATATGATTCACATGAAACCTTCGCGAGGGGGGAGAAGAATGAGCTGGAGAGGATGTGTTTGACAAGTGTGAGTTGTGTTTTACAAGGGAACTATGTGGTTCACGAGCTTTAGAAGTTGAAGTCAGCAGGGAAGCCTCATCCAAGGCTTCAACAAATTTTGTGAGTGCAGTTCCAGAATTTCTAAGAGAGTTGACATAAGAAACATGCGCAGCAGCCAGCAAGCATCTTCCATCAAGAGCTTGCTTGACAAAGCGCTTCCTTTCCTGACAAAGTGTTAGTGCTTTGTCTTCCTCAATCTTAGAGTTAGAAGCTCCCATGCCTAAATGAAACAACAATATTTTGTTTTAGTTAATCGGAGATAAAAGTCTTGATATAAATGTTAACATTTAGATCTCTCGAGGTACCCTGTTTCATAAACACACGCCAAAGAAATCAATTAATCTAAGGACTTGTAGAGATAGTAATATTGAGACTCATTAGATCATACAAAAGATTTCATATAGCAAAATATAAAGGGGTTACAGTAATACCTCTATATTCTAATTTAATCATATACCAAACTCATAAATCTTTATATTCAAGTATATAAATTTAGATATTTGATATGTAAAAACATAAGAATTCTATAGAGTGTAGATATATCCCCAAAAAATATATTGAAAAAAGAGCATGCTTCATTTGTACTAAACAGAAAAACCGGGTGAAAAAATCATCATCCTACAATTGCTCATTTCTCATTCAATTTTTAAGATTTTATGTTTTTTAAAATTTCATGTCACGAAACATCACAGAAAAGGTGAAAATAAAAAAGGGAGAAGTTTGCTCTATTTTCTTTATGCTATGAAGGTAAAAAAAAAAATTAAGAGCATGTGATGCTCAAGACATTGGAACAGCCAATTGATAGATTTTTATTATTTTTTCTTGCTGAGTGAAAATTAAGAGTGGAATAAGAACTAGAGATGGAGAAAGAAGAGAAAAAATACTAGAAAACAAGAAGAAATCCTGTGGAAGAAAGAAAAAGAATGTTAAAACAAAAGTCATTTATTGCTCCATTTTTCAAATTGTCACATGAAATCATTTTATCAGCGGATGAAAAGGAAAGGCAGCTAAATGATCTAAGACATGATAGTTGAAATCAAGAGAGCATCTCTTTCTCAAATATTGCAAGTGAGGATGATTAGAGCAGAGAAGAAGCATTGAAAAGAGAAAAAGAAATAAAAGCGACAAAACAGATGTAGAGGCAGAGAAATGCAAATAGTTGTGTGATGCAAAAGACTCATGCAAATGGGCACAATGAAGCAAACAGGGATAAGTAGCATAGAGTAGCAGCTGAAGGATCCAACAATGAAAAACTTTATCATAGATGACAACATTTAAGAGTCTGAATTGAGGGACTTCATCTTTATACCAAATTGATGACGAAGGACACAGCAGAAAGCAATAAGAAAACTAGACAAATGAATGCCTCAAAGGATGGTACGAAGGAGATGAAAAGAAAAAAAGCATAATGAAACCCTATAGTTAAAAAATGAGAGGAGGGTCAACCACAGCAAATAAAACCAAAAAAAGTCATTTCTCATTTTATCTTCAATTAACAACATTACAAGACTTCATACCCTATTTCTAGAAAAACGACTTGTCAAAAATGAAAAATCACCAATAAATATAAAAATATCATAAAAAATCACCAATAAATATAAAAATATCATAAGTTATAAAAATAAATAAAAGATAAATTATTTTTAATGATAAGCGATGTTCAAGTTAATTATTGGTGGATTCTATAAATATGGTGAGAAAATATGCTCTTAAAGTTGACTTAAAAGAACCTTTAAGAACCAAGTTCGGGGATGTATGAATTTCATTGGTATAATGATGGTTTAATGAACATTTAATTCTAGTAAGAAGTACTATGATAATATTATTGACAGACATAAAATGGAGGATAGGAAAAAGTGCGAGAAACTATTTTGCACAAACTAATCTTGCAATAGTCAACATATAGTTTAAGAAATGCAAAAACAATAAGGTAAGTTAGTTTTGAAGTAAGAGAATGCAAAAGAATATTACTTCAAATATTTGCATTTGATGTTTGGTTCCAATTAATTAATGGGAAATTAAATTTACAATAGAAAAATAATTAAATGCATTTTTTTCCCTTGATGATTCTCTACCAAAGTCTGATGACGACAGGACAAAGTCTTATAATCAATCATCACTGTGATTATGTGTCCTCTCCTCGTAAGGAAACATGAAATATCAAAAAATCCATTGTCGATGTGGTTAGACTAGAAAGGCGTTGGTGGCATTTAAGCTATCTTAGACTTTGTTTCTATTGATTGGTGGGTTCCTGTGAATGACTAATTGTTGACCTCATTTTTAGTGAGGTCTAGTCTTCCTCTTAGGGTTTAGGATCTAGCCTTAGGGACCTCCCTTGACTATCTTAGAACCTTAGAAGTGGTGCCCGCCTCGTTTTAATTCGACCTATTTCCGTCCTCTTTTGTGGTTCCAAGTGTGTGGTATCGACTTCTAGCATTTAGAAGGGTGAAACCAACATGAGGAAACCCAAAAGGGATCCCTATTGGACCTTTTGAGCCTTAGGGTGGCCTTCTGCACAATTCGCACGCCCGCGCGCGTTCGATCGCCGCAAATCC